GGACATTTTGAAATGTCTTACCCTCAGGGATAAGATTCTTTACATACAGACCCCTGTGGGGATTTGTCGCTAATTGTGGCAATTAGCAACACTGGCAGTGGTTCGTTTTAACTATCTTCCCATCAACATCCTGCACAGAATTAGATGGTAAAGAGAAGTATGCTTGGCAGAAGCTAGCAGAGATAAAAACACTTGGGAAGAGAAATCTCTATTACTATTTTTAAAAAACCATTTCATTCTGTATTTTGGCCACAGATATAAGTAGCTAAACTCAATTTTCTCCTAGGAAACCAACAAGTCAGTAGTTGTCCTGACAGGAAAAATTTTCTATTCTTGTGGGGAAAGTGTGCAGGAAAGAACACACTACATCTTGTGAAGGCTAGCTACCTGATACAGCCAGAAACTGATGTTAACTGTGTGGGGGCCCCACCGTTAACTATAGAGGTGGAATCTGGAAAGAAAGGGCTGACCCCAAGAATACATTTGAGTCATCAGACCTAAAAAACAGTACCTTTTCTCTTGCACGATTTTACCAAAAGCTTTAGAATGATATACTAAGTTCTCTCCTATTACAGAAGGAAACGCTAGAAGGCCTGTGATTGCCTGAATTTCCAGCCCCCAGCAACCATGGCAGCTCTTCTGAACAGCCATAGCAGGCTGGGAACAGGCCCCCCAAGCAGCCTCAATAAAAGAGCTGAGAGGTTACCAGTGAAAGGCTCATTAGCCTCCTTTCTTTGAAACCACAGTGAAACGGATCTTTTTCCAGAGTCCAGGGACGGACTGCTTAGCGCAATCATGTCTAAACTGGCCAACTGCTTTATAGAAAGCCCTCTCTGAGGACATCGCATTCCCGAGCACTCAATTTTCCCAAAGGACCAGGAATCGCTTAGAAATGGCTCTTTCAGGCATGGTATACCTGGACTTGTACTTTCTGATACCACGAATCTTAAATGTCTTCTTTACTTTACAGACACATGAATTATCACCAGGTAGCCCTGAAATAACTTATTTGCCCACTACCCAAAGTCACTGTACGCATTCCATAATGACAGCTGTTACAGGTAGTGCAGAAAGCCTCAAAGTAAGGTGGCAGCTATGGTTCAGAGAGAATGGCCTCTTCCCTAAAGAAAGAGAAGTAAATCAAAGTTTTTATCTCTTAAATTAAAATCTATGCCACCACTTTGCTTTAAAAAAAAAAAAAAAAAAAAGCCTTCAAAGCTCTCCTCTGCTTTCAGGAAAAAGTCCAAGCTCCCAGAACCAAGTACAACAAGGCCCTTCCCGATCTGGCCCCTGCATACCTCTCTGGCCTCATCTCTTTCCACTCAGCCCTGCCAACTCCCTGCCCTCCAGCCAGGAGGAAATACGTAGCTCTTCCAATGCTGCACTCTCTTCTTTGGCTGCCTCCCTACCTCTGTGCATTGGCCCTACACTCTACCTGCCCCTCCCAGACTTACTACTGCTTAATTCAACCGGTCCTTTGAATCTTAATTTAGGCATCGCCTTTTCTACAAGACTGACTCCTGCTATGGTACTCTATCTATGTCTCTTAAAAAAAAAAAAAAAAAAAAAAATTACCTCTTTAAAAAAAAAAGTACTGCTTTACCTCTTTAAAAAAAAAAAAAAGTACTGCTTTACCTGTTAGACTCCTCCACTGGACTGTGCCCAGTGCCTGGTATACAGTAGGTATTCAATGTTTACTATGCCTTCCTACAGGCTTACATACTACCCAGCACTGCTGATAGGGTAACGGTCAGATGACTGGGACATAAATTTGAATTCTTAGTCCAGAAGACTAGTCATCCTTTACCTTACTTAAGATGTATTTTCTTCCAATTGTTACATGACTTGCCCTTGCAAAAAAAGAATAAAAGGCAAATGATGCCAGGAAATTAGAGATTACTAATGCTTTATAATAACTACCAGTCCGATTTCATTTATGTATCATCCGCCTTCCCCTAGGACTGGGTTAGTTCACTACCAACAAGATGGACTAGGCTCTATATATGCCTAAACAACAAATGACTATAAAGCTTCAAACCACCAGAAACAGAGTGAACTGTTGATCTGACTTTGGGGGGAGCACAAAGATATCTTCCAATTACAAAATGCTCTACTTGTCCTTTGAGATGTGCTTAAGACAAATGACACAATTTAGAGTTTGAATCAACATTAACTCAATTTTACATTTTTGTTTCTCCCCAAGGCAGTATATTTTTAAAGAAGCATTTCCTTGGTGAAATGTTAAATTTCTTAAATTGTCCTTTGATTGGAGATGTAACTCCTCGGGAGGAAACAGGTAAAGGAACAATTTTCTCTTAGTAAGCATTCGCCATACTAACTAAAAGCCAAAAACTGCCTATTTACAGAATATATGAGGTGTTTCTCAAAGTCAGTCTTCCCAGAATGATGCAATAGAGCTGTACTGAGTAGACAGAAGATACACAGGAAACAGTGACCTCAGATATACTGACATATAAGAGGGAAATTCTAGCATGTCAAAAATTTTTTGTGGTGGACAGGGATCACCAAAAGCCTATTATTTTCACGGATTAGAACTGCCTCTGGATTACATAAAGTTTGTACGTTCACTTTAGCAACTAGTCAACCCCTATTTGCTAGTCCTCTTGCCACTCAGGATTTGTTTTTGTTTTTTTTTTTGCAAGGGGGGCGGTGAGTAACTTAATGCTCATTACCATATATCAGTTGGGAGGCAGGGTAACCTGAAGCTAAGACTTAAATATGCAACTGGCTACATCTGAAAGACACGTACAGTCAGTTGGTTTCTCAGCGATGTGGACAGTGCTTCATCCCCTCCCTGGCTCCCTTCCTTCAAAAGTGCACATTTACAAGACCCTTTGCAAAGTTTGAAAATGGAATCATATTCAAACCAAGCCCAAGGTAAACATACTAAAAATGAAAGTTAATGCCAAACCCCAAGTCTTTCACAAGTCCATATAGGTAGGAAGGCAGAAAAATGCTAGAGAATGAACCCAGCTTCTTACTATCTGTGTAAACTTAAGCAAGGCAGGTTACTCCCAAAACTCAGCTTCCTTGTTTATAAAAGGATAATGCCTCCCAAAGTTTCAATTAAATAAAAGATATATAAGGGAACTTGCATTTTAGTAGTTACTGCTCATTATGTCAATTTAGTTCCATCTACGTACCTGGAACTTTTAAAAGAATAGTAGAATACTGGACAAGGATCAGAAAAATCAAAGTTAAACTTGACATTTCTGGGGTTTATTCAGCTTTAAAATGCAGTACTAGGCTAGATGATCTCTAAGCAACTTACTCATTCTGAAAAACTAAAGTAATCCTCAATTTCTGAATCCTACATTCACATTTGTTTTCATTTTCTTACTTCTTTAACATGAGAAACTCATATCCCTTTGAAATAGGTGAAGAAAACCAAAGAAAGGCCAAGATGCTCAAGAAATTTATCATTTGAGTCACATCCAAAATGTAGGCCAAGCTTTTTTACAGGGGTGTCTGAATGATTCACTCATACTAGTGGTAGGCAACAGACGCCTGTACCGGAAATTTTGCATTCTCTGGCACAAAGTCACTGCTAAGCACACTCACCGCCTCGCACACAGCAGACATTCAAAAGTATGTCTGTTGACTGAATAAATACCAAGATGACACCTGTTGCTCCTTATAAAATATTTCAATTGCTCTCAAGACAAAATCCAGGGAAGATGATCCACACATAACAACTGTACTAAATACCTTCCGAACAAATTAATCCCTCAAATTCTCAATCATGCTAAGTGGAAAAACAAACACCGTGAGAGAAGTGCTGAACTGCCAGAAAAAAACTCTGAAGTCAGTTTCAACATTCCTGTAGAGATACACCCACTGCCGCGAGGATCAATTTCTTGGCCTCTTCCAGAGCTGACAAGCACCCTCAAAGGCGCTTGGAGATGAAACCCCAGTACCTGTTCTACCCTTGTACAAGCATTCGGCTCTCCCCGCTCTATTCCGAACAATTAAACCTTTAAGGTGGATGTCACTCGAGCCAGCAACTGAACAGACACAAACATGGAGAGGCCAAAAAGACATCTCATCTTCACAAGGGTCACCATAGAACCACAAACTCTGAAAAGACCAAATTAATCACGAACCTCATAGAATTGGCCGTTCCGGCTTGGAATAAACTATTTTCTTACAGCTTCTGAAGGCAAATAAAAACTCCAAAAGCAAGTCGAACGGTCCGTTTCCCCCTGCTCTCCCAGGAATGCGGCTACTTTACACCGTATATCGCACCCCTCCCCCCTCGACCCCGGCGAGCAAACTCCGAGACCCTCCGGGATCAGATCGTTGGGTGGGTCCCAGGAGAAACGGGCTGCCCCCTGGGCTTACGGTTGTTCTGGCAGGGTCCCCAAGAGACCCGCCTGCAACAGGCTCTCAGAGTAAAACTAAAAGAGAAAAAACCCCAGACTCGCCCACCGTGGCGGATGGCGCAAAGCGGTGGGGGATTTCAGTCGAGAGTTGAAGGGCCCAAGACGATTCAATTTCCCTTACTGTCCCTCTCCGGAGCCGGGGCATAGCGCCCAGGTCCGCGCACCAACCCCCTAAACGCCCCCCGTCCCCCGACACACACACAGCGTGCTGCTCGCTCCTCATTAGAGCACACGAACTTTAAAATGGTGCCTCGGACAGCGGGGGTCGGACGAGAAAGGAAGGGTCCAAGAGGCCCGGGGCGAGCGAGTGGACGCGGGGGCCAGGAAAAGAGGCCTTGGGTGGCGAGTGGGGCGACCCAGGTGACGCGCACGTCGTGGGGTGGAGGAAAGCGCACCGGGCAAAGGTGGAGGGAGAAATGGAACGCGGCCCCTTTAAGAGGCCTTCACAGCGCCCAGGGACTGGGGGCCTCTCCACCACCCCAGGCCCGGCGTGTGGGGCCTTTCCTTGGGGAGAACCATCCCCAGACCCGCTCCCCGGAGGCTTCGCTCACGCCAGGTCCCGCCCGGCCCTGCCCCAGGGCGGCGGCTCCTCCTTACCCCGCTGTCTGCCGCCTCCTCCCAGCTCTCAGCGACCTCCTCATCTTCCATCTTACTCGCCGCTTCCCTCCTCCCCAACCCCCTCCCTGCGCCTGCGCCCTGATACGCGCCTCCGTCGCGGGCGCCGGCACGCAAGGCTTTACTCAATGGACCCCGCCCCCTGACAAGCCCGGAAGAGGCTCCAGGCCAGGGCCCTAGATCGTCGAGGAAGCCATCTTGGCAAAGGGCATAGAAGTTAACGCTGCCATTTTCCATAATGGCATCGTGTACTCTCACGCTGAGTAAAGTCCAAATGAACCACCGTCTTGAGTGCGGGAAATGTGTTCTTTGAAACCATCTTTTCTAAAGTCAGGCAATTAATGAAAAAAAAATTTTTTTAAGAGAGTCGTAGTTTTCATAAAGTGCAGATTATGGTTGTTGTTTTTTTTTTTTTTTTAATTTTGAAAACATTTCGAGTCGTAGTTTTCATAAAGTGCAGATTATGGTGTTTTTTTTTTTTTTTAATTCTGAAAACATTTATGCCTCAACAAAGGATGAAAAATAACTGCTGATGCGGAAAACATTTTATTATTTCTGATAGGGTGAAAATGGTTACAGTATTTCCTGCTCATAAAGCAGTATTCCAAGCAAATATTAACACTACTTTGTATCTTCTAACATGAGGTAAAAACATTACTATTAGTTGATAATGCACCTGAGCTGGACAACCAGAACTACTAAAGTTCTCTCTAGTCTTTAATGACAAATACATTAACATTACCTTAATAACGGATTTATGCGTTTTCCTAAAATTTCTGTTTTATTTTTCTCCAGTATAGAGATAGAGACATTGGACTTTAAAGTTTGACTTCAGAAGCTTCCCACTTGAACTGTGATCTTATGCAAATTACTTAAGTTTTCTGTGTTTTAATTTACCCCAAATGTAAATAAAGAGAATAATAATAATAATAGTAGTAGCTGCTTCAAAAGTAGATTAAACGAGTTACTATACTGAAAAGCTTATTCTTGATCCACAGTGAGTTACCTATTACCATTATGGGGGTGTCATGCCTGCCTTAATATTTATAATTCTCACCTCTCTGACCAGCTTTTTCTCCCAAATCACAAAAGCAGGGGGAAAAGTGAACACCATGTGGTTTTATTCTCACTGACATGTTACTGTCGGCCTCTCAGTATTAAAAATATGTCATTCAATTATGTCATGTAGTTTTTCATTTGGTTGCTATAATCGAGTTATCTGAGTTGGAATTTTTTTTTAGTATGTCATTAATTCTTCTGAAAGAACAGCTTCCTGTTGTGAAATTTTGAAATTTCTGTTCCTAATGATAACTATTATCATAAATTGCAGTCATGTGTTAAGTGTTACTAGTCTTTATTTAGAAGTTAAAATGACATGCTTAATAATTCTCTGGTTTCATGACGTCCAGTCTCTGAAATATCATTCATCTCTGGGTCTGTCCTCAGTCTACTGTTCTTACCAAGATGCTCAAGGTATAAGTCACCCCCTGTATGCTAAAGACTTCCAAATTTGATTTCCAGCCTCTAACTGATTTGATGTTTCCGATTCATACAGATAGACTTCTTATCGCCACTTTCACGTGGATATTCCACTAGCAGCTCAAATTCTCTAAGTCTGAAATCCCACAGCCTGACCAACTTTAAAGATAAAGAATTTTGTCTTGTTCACTTGCTGGAACTACATTTACTTTGAATACAGTCTCCTGTGAACTATTCTTTTAAGTGAATTATCTGCTAGCCTTGGCGACAGCAAGGTGGGACTGTCTATCAGATGTTACCCAAACCTCTCTTGAAGTGTGATTAGTTTTTCATAAATGCAACTGACTCGTGTTAGTTTTAGTCTTTGTAATTATAGCCTGTTACCAGCAGAGGGAGATATTTTCTCACAATTTTGTCATATTTGGCAATGAGCCTTAACAAAGGAATTAGTTGGGCAATTCCTGGGACTGAATTTTCTTGGAGACTAGAAAGAGAAATCTTGGAGATCGTCTGAAGATGTTACAAAGAAAATAGGTTTTATTCCACCAAATGAGTAATCTGGAAGCCAGCCCTAGTTAATCATATAGGCCCCTTGTGACCTTGGGCAAATCCCTCCCTCATCTGTAGAATGAGAGAATGGGACTAAATAAGTTCTAAAATTGAGGAAGTGGTAGTTTCTTCCTCAGGGGGGAAAGCCCTCAAATTAAGATAGTGGTATATTTTTAATATTCTTGTGAAAGTCATGTTTGGAGCTTAGAAACTTGCATTCGGAACAGCAGGCACCTTTGATACACCACACAAAACACTGACGTACGATGGGAATATAAGAGCAAAGCCCATAGTGAGAAAAGTTACCACGCGATGCACAAGCCTAGGCTATGTGGACAGTTGTGTTAAGAAACAAATGGCAACTTACCAATATAAAATATACCTACCTTTTGATCCAACAACTGCATTTCTAGGAAGTTTCCCTAGATACATAGATACATTTGCTCATATGCAAATACAAAAGTACAAGGATATTCACTGCTATTTCATTTATAATAAAAAAAGAATGGAAACAAATTAAATGCCTATCACTAGAGGATTTGTTTTAAAAAATATATGATACACCCATAGGAAGGAATAGAATACAATTTGCTAACAAAATTTAGATGGTTCTAAATATACTGACACTAAATGACCCCAAAATTAAAAAAAGAATTTGTTTAAAATAAAAGCAAGGTACAGAGCAGTATGTATACTTTGCTGCTATTTTCAGGTTTCTTTGTTTATGCATGTATATGTGTTTGTTTATGCATGTTTGGAAAGATATTAGGAACTTGTAACAGTAGTCACCTTGATGAAGGAGAGAGGTTTACTAGGTAGCTAGGGGACTGGTAGAATAAGCTTCATTTTTATTATATGTCCTTTTGTACTTTTCAAATATTGTTCTATGTGCAAAGCTTACTTACTTATTCTAAATAAATACATACATAAGAATTTCAGGAATTGATTAGTGGATGGACTCTGGAGGAAAACTTTTCCTTTACACTTATTAAAGAGGGAACAGCCACCCCTCTCATTCTAGCCTCATCCTTTGTCTCCTCTCCTATTATGTCCCAATAGGCCTTCATCCTGTAGAGAGATTATTCTAAAACACCATTTTCATCACATATCTTCCCTGACCCCAAATCTCCACCAACTAGGAGTTAATATCCAGTTTTCCTCCTGATATTCCAGACCATATATAAACTGACCTCAATCTTATCTCCTCCTGTTTGTCAGAAGCAACATTGTGTAGAGTTCAAGAGCATAGGCTTTGAAGTGAGACCACCTGGGTTCAAACCCTGCCTGTGACCACAGGTTGAGCTATTTAATCCCTGTGTGCTTCAAATTTATTATCTGCAAAATAAGCACAACAATGGCACCTACTTAGTAGTGTTTGGCACATAATAAGAGTACATGATAAATACTGTGATTATTATTAATTTTGCTTTAATCATAATACTTTTATGTTTATCACAATTTATAAATTTATATCGGTTGATTTACTTTATTGTCTGTCTCTCATAGTAGACTGTAGGGGTCTTTCGTGAGAGCAGGGACTTGGTTAGTTTAAAAATATATATATATATTACTATACATATCACATGGTTTGGCACATAGTAGGTGCTCACTAAATATTTGTTGATTGAATGCCCTCTTTGTTATCAAATTTCCAGTTCATTAACTGATTCATCAAGTATTTAGTAAGTCCCAATTGTGTGCCAGTCTCTATATTAGATGATAAAGCAGTGAACAAAACAGACAAAAATGACTGCTGTCTTTGAGGTAGGAGATTCAGGGTGGAGTGGTTCTGTATTTGAACCTGTTCTAACATGATCGAGCAGTTCTAAACCTAACTGGGCATCAGAATCCCTAGGGAGCTTTTCAGAAAAAGTCCAAGGGAAGAATAAGGTGGCCCCTGGAACCTACATTTTTACAAGGAGGCACTTAATAACTGGTCTAGTGTTTCTAATATTAAGCTCTACAAGATATTTTGGCGAGATTGGTCACAAGTTCTGTGACAATTTTTAAGCTTGGCGTTTTTAATGACATGATTTAAATATTTCATCAGTTATAATTGCCAAGTTTCTCTTTGGCAGTGACATTTCTAACTGAAACACCTGAGTTTCTTAAATCAGCGCTTTTCATACTGGAATTCCATGAGGTACTCCCAGGGGCTTCTGCATTATTCAAGCTTGAGGAACACAGATCTAGTGATTTCTAAGGTGAAGATGACCCAAGTCTGCTGCCCAATACCACCTTGCCCTTAAACTTGATGTGGGACTTGGGTTCTGATCCAGCCCTGTGTCCCAAGAGATATCCTAGAAGGTCCACTTTATCCTAGGGTATTGGGCTGGCACCTCGAGGTTCCTTTGGTTTTGGTTTTCAACGCAAACGGCAAAGTTGGAAACCTTTGGGGTCTGTATCTCTGGCATTTCCTTAAATCACATGCTGTTTGGATGAGTTCATGAAGGTTCTCACCTACACACCAAGTTGCTCCCTTGGAAGGGGGACTTTACTGGACCCCACCACCTAGCCTGGTGATAGTGATAGCGGCAAGTACAGGAGCTTGAGAACCAGATACGCCTGAGTTCAAATCCAACCCTGCCTCCTCTGTGCCAAGATGTGTGGCCTTGGGAAAATGACTGATACATCTCTGCGCCTGTTTCCCTCATCTGAAAAATGGAGCTAGTAAGTCACACGGTGGTTGCTACGGTCAGGGGAGGCGTCGCTTGCACAACCAACGCACTGAGTTTCCCTCTTTCAGTTGACATCCAAGAGCACTTCCAACCGCCGCAGTCCTCCCCGGTGCTCATTGGGCCTCTGGTGGCACGAATGAGTTAACTCCTGGCCAAACGTCTATCATAGTCTCAAGCCAATTGTCCCGGGCACTGCGAAGGAGGGTGACTGCAGACCTAAGGTCGGTTGTACTCAACTAAGGCAGGTGCCGAAGCGCGACGTTTCTCCACTCCAGCTTCGCTCCCCGGAGTGTCGTTCCAACCTCTGGAGAACCTCCGCCCGGGACCACGCCCCTTCCCAAAATGGCACCGCCCCTCGGCCTCCCCGCGCGGGCCCGCCGAGCTGACGTGTGCGTGCGC